GACGAGTTTTTTTAAAAAACTCGAGCTTATTTGATAAACTTCTTTAGATAGATTTTCCAATAAGCTAGTTAATTTTTTTTTTTCCAGCTAGTTTGTCAACTAATTTTACCAAACACTTTTATAATAAAAGCTACCTTATCATCTATAAGTCATAAGCTATAAGCTAAAAAATTATTGATAAGTTATAAGCTAGATTATCAGCTATCATCTAATTTTACCTAACATAGCCTACATAAAAATAAAAAAAAAATAAAAAGAAAAACTCAAACCCGAAACCTTACTTAAACGTGATCAAACTGCTTACTATTTGAGTCAACGGTGTGGGTAATCATTTTTTGACTTTAAAACAAATAACAAAAAGAAAAAAAATACACGAGAGAGAAATTAAAAAGGACAATTTATTTTTTCCAATGAGACGGGCTCAGCTCAAGAGCTTCCAGCCAGCTGTCTTGAATTTCAACCACAAATTGCACGAACACTTTCAGACATTATATAAATGGCGTATTTAAATCGGCCCCATAGTTAAGTCCCTTCCATATACGTACGCCATGAGAGTTGCGTTTATGCTGTCAAAAGGGTACACAACAATAACTCGTTAGCTTTAAGCTTTAAATGAATATCAAAGGCATAAAATTGCAGCCTTGGCCCCATATATATGACCACGTTAGATTCGACATTATTGGTAATTGCAGTTCAATTGTCGAGTTCTTTTAGAGGAACAATTGAATACTTGATTGGATTTAAAGTGAGTTAATTGAGTGGATGAATGAGTAGGGCATTTGTAATAATCTAACGGTAAAAAACGCGATGACTAAAACATACTCATATGTTAAAATTTACCCTAATAATGAACCAATTGGAAAAACCTGAAATATTTGACAACTCACCACCCTTCCTATTAATATGCGCGATGAACGAGTCGAGCTCGAGCTGAGACTCGCCGTCTTCCTCCATCGCGCCCCTGACGGTGGCCGCCAAATCCCGAGCACGCTTCCTGAGGTCCTCTGAGGCCATCA